GGGCCGGAACCGGGGGGGAGCCGGCCGGGAACCGGGGGGAAACCGGCCGGGAATGGGGCCGGAACCGGAGGGGAACCGGCGGGGAGCGGCACCGGGAGCGGGGCCGTTCCCCAATGTCCCCAGTGATGTCCCCAATGATGTCCCCAATAATGTCCCCGATGTCCCCAATGATGTCCCCAATGATGTCCCCGATGTCCCCAATGATGTTCCCGATGTCCCCAATGATGTCCCCAATGAGGTCTCCAATGTCCCCAATGTCCCCAATGATGTCCCCAATGTCCCCAATGATGTCCCCGATGTCCCCAATGATGTCCCCGATGTCCCCATCCCGCAGCTCTCGACGGTGCCCCCGTCCCCGCCCGCGGCCCCCGAGCCCCACAGGGGTGAGTGAGGGGCTGGGGACACCTTGGGGACACCTTGGGGGCTGGGGACACACTGGGGACAATGTTGGGGACAATATTCGGGGCTGGGGACACGCTGGAGACAGCGGGCAGGGGCTGGGGACACCTTGGGGACAATGCTGGGGGTTGGGGGCAGCAGGGAAGGGGCTGGGGACACGCTGGGGACAGCGGGAGGTGGCTGGGGACACCTTGGGGACAATGCTGGGGGCTGGAGATGTGCTGGGGACAGCGGGAGGTGGCTGGAGACACCTTGGGGACAATGCTGGGGGCTGGGGACACACTGGGGACATCGAGGAGGGGCTGGGGACACCTTGGGGACAAAGTTGGGGATGATGCTGGGGCTGGGGACACACTGGGGACATCAAGGAGGGGCTGGGGACAGCAGAAGGTGGCCAGGGACAGCGGGAGGGGGTGGCCGTGGTGGTGGGGACATCACGGGCAGAGCCACCACGGGGGTTTGGGGACATCAGACCTGGCTGTCGGTGCTCTGTGAGTGTCCCCCGTCCCCACTGGTGTCCCCTTGTCCCCAGAGGAACCCCCGGTGTCACCCCCGGTGCCGTCCCCGGTTCTGTCCCCGGTGCCGTCCCCGGTGCTGCGGAGCTGCTGCGTCCCCGTGGTGCCGCCGCTGTCCCCGCTGCAGGCCTGGGTGGGGTCCCTGCGTCACCCCGAGGACGCCCTGAGGGGTCTGGCTGACCTGCACCCCGACGTCTTCGGCGTCAGCCCCCGGTGGGGACCCTGGGGACACCCCTGGGGGCCCTGGGGACCTTGGTGGCTCTGGGGGTGTTGGGGACACCCCTGGGGGCTCTGGGGACACCCCTGGGGCACCTCTGGGGGCATTGGGGGAGGTTCTGGGGACCTTGGGGACACCCCTGGGGCACCTCTGGGGGTGTTGGGGGAGGTTCTGGGGACCTTGGGGACACCCCTGGGGACACCTCTGGGAATGCTGGGGACACCCCCACAGATGTTGGGGACACCCCTGGGGGCTCTGGGGACACCCCTGGGGGCACCTCTGGGGACTTTGGGGGCACCCCTGGAGATGTTGAGGACACTCCTGGGGGCTCTGGGGACATTGGGGACACCCCTGGAGGCATTGGGGACACCCCTGGGGGCTCTGGGGACACCTCTGGGGACGTTGGGGACACCCCTGATGACGTTGGGGACACTCCTGTGGGCTCTGGGGGACATCAGGGACATCCATGGGGGCCTTGGGGCCACCCCTGGGGACTCTGGGGGGGCTCTAGGGACACTGGGGACACCCCTGGGGGCTCTGGGGACGTTGGGGACACCGCTGGGGACACCCCCGGTGGCTCTGGGGACGTTGGGGACACCCCCGGTGGCTCTGGGCGAGTGTCCCCCGTGTCCCCCTGTCCCCAGGCTGGACATCCTGCACACGGTGGCCACGTGGCAGAGGAACTACAAGAGAATCGTGAGCGTGGGGAGGGGGCTTGGGGGGGATTTGGGGGGGAAAAAGGGGGGTTTGGGTGTGGAAAATGGGGTGGGGGTCTCAGGGTGACAGTGTCCCCCCGACTGTCCCCAAAATGTGCTGGGGGGGAGTCCCAGGAAGGGTCTTGAGCCCCAAAAAGCCTCTGGGGGCTCCAGGGAGCTTTTTGGGGTTCCTGGGGTGCCCCGAGGAGCTTTCTGGGGTTCCTGGGGTGCCCCAAGGAGCTTTTTGGGGTTCCTGGGGTGCCCCGAGGAGCTTTCTGGGGTTCCTGGGGTGCCCCGAGGAGCTTTTGGGGGTCCTGGGGTGCCCCAAAGAGCTTTTGGGGGTCCTGGGGTGCCCCGAGGAGCTTTTGGGGNGAGCTTTTGGGGGTCCTGGGGTGCCCCGAGGAGCTTTTGGGGGTCCTGGGGTGCCCCGAGGAGCTTTCTGGGGTTCCTGGGGTGCCCCAAGGAGCTTTCTGGGGGTCCTGGGGTGCCCTGAGGAACTTTTGGGGTTCCTGGGGTGCCCCAAGGACCTTTCTGGGGGTCCTGGGGTGCCCCGAGGAGCTTTCTGGGGTTCCTGGGGTGCCCCAAGGAGCTTTCTGGGGTTCCTGGGTTGCCCTGAGGAGCTTTTTGGGGTTCCTGGGGTGCCCTGAGGAGCTTTCTGGGGGTCCTGGGGTGCCCCGAGGAACTTTTGGGGTTCCTGGGGTGCCCTGAGGAGCTTCTTGAGGTTCCTGGGGTGCCCCGAGGAGCTTTCTGGGGGTCCTGGGGTGCCCCGAGGAACTTTTGGGGTTCCTGGGGTGCCCCAAGGAGCTTTCTGGGGCTCCTGGGGTGCCCCGAGGAGCTCTCGGGGGCTCCGCAGTGGGCGGGGGTCTCGGGGTGACGCCGTCCCCGCTGTCCCCGCTGTCCCCAGAGCCACGCGCGGGTGCGCAGCCGGGCCGAGGTGCGGGGCGGGGGCCGCAAGCCCTGGCGGCAGAAGGGCTCCGGGCGTGCCCGGCACGGCTCGGCACGGTCCCCGCTCTGGAGGGGCGGTGAGTGACACCCGGGACACCGGGATGGGGACACCGGGATGGGGACACCGGGATGGGGACACCAGGATGGGGACACCGGGGGGGACAGGGACACCAGGACGGGGACGCCGGGATGGGGACACCGGGATGGGAACACCAGGATGGGGACAGGGATACCGGGCGGGGACGCTGGGGG